GACAAAGCACCTGATACCTATGTTTACCGGTGTTTAAGTCGGCCCCATCTTTGCCTTTCCCACGAGGGGATACATCGCAGGCCATTAATCCCCGGGATGGAGTCGAGAGTTATAATTATCATGTCATTCCGCATATGACAAATTAGCCAAATACCCATAAACTTTAAATACATAAGTACAGTTTCAACGTTAAGCGTTAAATACATACCCAGGTGGACATAAATGGATTTGTATAATGTGTAGTTAAACTTTACTTAACTTTAACTTCATCATGTGTTTTCTAGTGTCGTAAACATAGAGGACATTTTTTTCAAGTTTTGAAGTGTAAATAAAAGCAGGTATTTTAACAAAAACGGAAAACATAAAATTTTAAAATGTGAGATAAAATATCTTTAAATGGGATATAAATTATGTGTATTAAGTACTTAATGAATGGAAAGACATCAACATTATTTACACTTGAACAACAGTTTATTTTTGTAATACATTTGTCTAACCCGTATAAATGCCGCTGTATAGTATATTTGTGTCTTAAAGACCTATAGCTCAACTGCTATTTGACAAATTCAAATCTAAAATAAAATTTAATGTTGGTGTTGTATTGTATTGTATTGTAATTTGCAAATAAAATATCTTTCTATTTAAAGGCAAAATAAATCCTTCCGAGCGGATATGAATGTATCCTCGCAATGTTGACTAAGAGAGAAGCTTGTCGGTATATTTACTTAGAACACGGTTGGAACTTACGTGCTCCTTTTATATGACTATCCGATAAGTTTTATTCAATAGCGGAGGTCCCGAAAAGAAATCGACTTGTATAGGATTATATTTTCACAAATATAGAAATGTTTTTAATATCAACAATGTTCAATTTTAGCTATTTAATTGTCCTTTTCAAACGGAATATATTTTAACAATCATCTTTTGTTAGAAGAATAATCAGGTTTTCTTTTCCTTTTAAAAAGAAAATTCAATCTTTTTAGTTGTTATTTTACAGAATTAACTATCCCGAAATAAAATTCTCGTTATATGTATGATTCGAGTTGATCAAACATATTTCTTCTAATTAAGACTTTACTTTATGTAAATAACACAAGCGTCCTCCGAGGCTTTCTCAAACAAAGCAAATGTACAATAAGTGACACTTTCTGTGTAAGCCAAATTGTCCACATCATTAAATTCAATTTGTATTATCTTTATCAAGCACACTTGTCGTATACACGTAATTAACTCCCGAACCCTATCAACCTCACATTGTTTGAATGCACTGTGTATCTGTGTGTAACCACGCCCCTTTCCCCGGGGGAGCGTTTATCTGAAAACGTGGTTTAACGTACCGGTTACACATGGCTACCTCTTTTCGTTTGATCATTTGTTAATTAAAACTTAAGTAAGAACGGGTTTGATCCATCCCTGATTATCTTAGTTTGAGCAATGAAATATAAACCCCTATGTACCTAACACGTCACGGTAAACTGATACACAGAGGCCACTCTTCTGACGTGGAACTGTGAAATCGCAGAGTCTAAATCCCCGGGGACCAATAACACTATCAGCGCCTTGTTAGCGGGTTAACAGCCAGCCAAACGTTTCGCAGATAAATCAAAGATATTACAACCCCGAAGAATACATCTTAATAAACTCTGGTAGGTTTATTATATATAATTAGATGTTATTAATTTTAATAAGTGTCTATCTTGATTTGAGTGAATGCATATTTTATTACAGTGTATATATAATGTACCAATGTGGGATTTTCATCTCCTTTTCTTTGAACGGGGTTTTCCGTTTTATCAGTTAAATATATCAAACGAGTCATATCATTTACAACATGTTTGATGATCTCTGTATTACCAGAATATGGTATTACTATTTTGGCATTTTCAATCAAGATCCTTTTGAAATATATTCACAAATGCCTCACAGCATTATTAAAGTTTTCCTTTTTAATGCCGTTGATGATAGTTCCCTTCTATTTATGATGTACTTTTAGAATTTAAAAAAAAATATTAATTGCACAAAATAATCTGCTTGAGTACATTTAGAAATAGGTTGTTGGATAAGTTGTTAAATCTATCTTGGTCAGTTTCACAATTGATTTGTATAAGGGTTATTCATAAGGCGCCAGCATATTAAGTAGAAACAAAAATAACAAATCACTAAAAAGACAGTTGCTTCCATAATATTTTCTATATGTTTTTCTATTTATATATTTGAAAATCGATTTTTTTTCCATCATTATGTTTTTAAATTTATATATATTACAGGTCAGGTTAAAATTAAACCGAGTTTTGTTTACTATTTCGCGTGTTCATCATATTTAGAACCATATTCGTTCCGTTGTAACAACAACGCACTTTCTTTCTTCATTCTATGATGTTTTTTGCTTTTTTATTGATTGGTTTTATTTGAATATGTACCAAAAAAATATTGAACAAGTGATTAAATACAAATTATTTCATGCTATCAACGATTTATGTTGTCATACATTTTTAATTTACATATATTATAATGAAGCATATTAACTTAATAGTATCACTCTTTAATATATTGCAGGATTATGTTTTATTTCATGCATTAATATAAAAAGTCAAATGAAAGATGTTAAGTGCTAAGCAAACCAGTTCCAAAATATTATTTGAGGCATTGAATTGACTCAAATTAATTTTCCTTTCATTCCTTTCTATTCCAGTAAGATTGACAAAAATATCAATATGGATATTTCTTCTTATTTAATTATTTCATATGTATTTTACACAATTATCCATTATGCATATCACAATGTCATTATTGCGATTTTTAAATGTACATTACGATGTTTGTATCGCATACAACAGAGAACACATGGAAACAGTCATACGGTATTTAATGAATTATGTTTTAATAAATCATCGTTTTTGCTTTTAGCATATTTTGTGTCAAATATGAACGTTGGCATGTTGTGTTTTGGGTGGTAAGAAAACCCTTAATTTTCCTGTTAGTTACATGTGTCAAAACATTGGTGTTTTCTCACCAAAGAATAACATCAACTACCAAGCGGCGTCAAGGCCCAGAAACGCACATGGTGTTTATTACAACCACGTTACAAAATGATATATTTGTTTTTGTGTAGATATTTATAACTTTAGCACGTCAAGGTTTAAAGTATGGGTACTTTCCATAGAATCATGATTTTCTATGTTCATATGTTCATTTTTATATTCAATATTGTGTATTTGTTCTATAACCACTGATGTAGAAATAACAGATATTTTGAAAATTAAAATATCATAGCATCAATACACAAAAGCAAACTGTTACATAACATCAACCATAACTGAATAGAACTTGGCAATTTGTAATTTCCTTTTAGACATGCTTGTTTCATTTCACTTCGTGATTTTAACTGCAATTGGAATTCCATATCCAAGGAAAGGAACAAGTAAAGATCAATAACATCACGCGAGAAAATGTTTTGTTATCATTAATATTAAAGGATGTTTTGTATGGTTGATTTTTGTTTACATGCTCCTTAACATGAAGATAGTTTTGTATGGGATAATGACAATATACTTGGCCGTGTATATTGAAAAAAGCAAAATACATTTCCACCCCGGAAACACGGGTCATGGATAATAATTTCATAATGTGTCTCTCCCTTAGATGCCATAAGCACGATAACTCGGTGTTTAGAATTGACGATGACCATGAATAAACGTCTGAACATATGATATATTTGAAGTCATGATCCGACAGAGATCACAACAGAATGTTAGAATGGTTTCTTTACAGAATCACCCAACGATTTGGTGCTTAATTGACGTAATTTACTTAATTCTGTTGTTAATATGGTCAATTTACCTCAAGCCTCATAGAGCCCGAATAAAACACTGCTGGCGTTTTACCATATTAAAAACTTCTTCAAAATCACTAACAGTCGATATATGATAATTGGTTGGTGTCATATACAGGTGATGTATGGATCCCTAGGTGATTACACCCATGTATCCAAAGGTAATTATTGCCAGGTACCCCGGGGTGAACTGCCGGCCGGAGAAATCAAGGTTCCTAAGTATGAAGATTAATGGACCTTTGCATTGTCAATGATTTTTTATGAATTACATTTTTAACCCAACTTGAAAAAAGAATATAGGCACGATATTGTAGTCGCGTCAGGAAGACATTGCTAGTCTTAACGTGTTCAATTGTTCGAACAATCTTGGCGTCATCGTAAACAACATGCGGGCGAAGGGAGACATTTGGCATGAACATAACTGCAGGGTTAATTAGTTTTCTTTCAGACTTGATTTATAACTATCATATCAAAATAAGACTTAAAATAAATTTAGTTTATTTCATCCTGGTTTGATATATTTCAATGTGTTGTTTTACCATATGGATGTTTATGCACTGTTCCTAATAAAGGTGAAATATGGAACGTGTCGTCTTATTACGTCTATACAATAAGTAACACATTTCAATCACTGCAATGTAAACTCAAAGAGATATATTTTATTTTAAAATAAACACGATGAAAAATTATAACCTTAAAATAACGGAAAGAATTGTCAGAAAAATTGAGTTAAAAACAACACAAAATATCTATCAGTATTTCAATTAAAAAAAGGGCGTAAATCTAACACTTTGGAAAACATAAACAAAAAATATGAATCCATAACAAATTGGAACTTATAAGCAAATAACGAAAATAAAATTTAACAATTAAATCAAAACAGGAAAATTTGAAAAAAAAGAAATGGAATCAATAAGAAAAATAAATATTGTGGAATTAACTCAGTTTTTATTTCTGTGAAGATTAATTAATTCCATTCACAATAATGAATTCCTTGTCGTTTTTGAATGTTTTAAAACTATTTCCAATGACAGGTGTTGACATACATTAAATCAAAAGTTGCAAGACAAATTTAATAATTTAACCAATTTCGAAAATATGTTAATAAATGTTAACAATTACTGGGACTGGAACAAATATTCTAAACTATATATATATCAGTACTTACCGAACGGAAGTCCAAACAGACCCTGAGGGTGTCGTGCCAACATCCATGGATACATATTCGTAGGATCTCGGCTTGCACCTAAAAGTCCGGGATAAAAAGGATGGAGGGAAGAAACTGTTGGTGGTGGAAGAGTCCGACCCAGGGACGTTACCCCCGGGGCCATGGTATTCTGAAACGCCCATGCTGCAGATCGTTGTAATGCTAGCAAGTCATTTGGATTTAGTTGAGATTGTTCAGCTAGCAGTAAGTTTCGCACATGAGGTGGCAATGCCGGGTGCAGAGGTGGGATTCTACCCGCAATGAGAGCAGCGTCCTGAGCCGAGGATGAGAGGCCAGACGAGAAGGAACTGGTGATGCTGTGCTGGGGTTCGGTACCCTGGGTAGAACGAGTCTCCTTGTGAATCAAAGAGTCAATAGAAAATCCATTTGAAGCGTGTTTCGGAACAGGCAAAATGGGCTTCATATTGTTTTTCCTGCTTCCACTTAAATACTTTCACAAGATGTCCCCTAATTATGTCATAGAATTAATAATTTCCTGTCGAAATCATCAGATATTTTTGAAATTTATATATCAGAAAGTCAGTGACAAATAGGAATCAAAAGTCATAATTCATAAACTTTCACTCGTAATTTGCTTTCATATAATAGAATAAATATAATTTAAATATTGTGATTTTTTCCTCAAATGAAGGACAGTCCTATGTCAACACAAAGTGTCTACCTTCAAATCAGCAGATTCTCTTTTAGTGTAATGATGGCACTTTCTCTGACGAGCAATCGTAACTGGCCAGTAGAATTGCTTTCGATCATTTTCTTTGAGTTCGTTTCCTCCGGTTAATAGGCTTCTGGTCGGCGACAGCGATTGGCCAGTTAATGCTCTGTCGTCTGCGAGGGTCATTTAGCCCGCTAGGTGGCAGCACGTTATAATTATGGACGGGATCGATGTTCTTAGCAGCCTGATGTATCATATGTCGCCTGATGATGTCTTTCTTGTTTTAAACAAAATTCTTTTTCGTTGCTCGACTCAGGTAACTCCCGTACTAAGCTTTATGATACAGATCCGTATGTTGTCAGATATTTATATGTATTCAGCGGAAACGATCGATGTACTTAAGATTTAAAATCTGTCATTGTCATTCAAATTATAGGGGTTGTGACTACAATATGTTAAACTACAGCGTTCTGAATGGGGGCAGCCCTCGCTACATGGAGATAATGTAGTTTATTTTGTCCGAATTTTGATGAACAAGCTGATAGAAATTTAATTATGTTAAAATGTGAAGCGAAAGAAATCTGCCATGTTTAAATATACCTTAGCTAATAAATTCTAAAACCATGATGATTGTGAACTTTGTTATTTTCTTAACAGGTTGGTTATCTATGATGCGTTGTAAGTACATATCCAGTAAAGGATACAAGTCTATGTCAGGGTTTACTGGGTACGACGGGTTTAAAACAGACAAAAAGGAGTCACTTAGGGTTTTCGTTCAGACATTCGTCCTCCTATATTGTCCGTATAATTATTACAATCACTGTATTTATTTTCCTTTTTTTATTCATTTGTCATTCTTTTAATCTTATTATTTTCCTTTTCTTAAAGGTAACTTTGACATCATTTATATATTCGACCATCTATCGGTATTTCAATAATGTTTCATCATAGTAAAAATAACAAAATTGTGTATCAAAAGTAAATGTTTAAAAAAAAGAAATAAGAGAACTGAAATAATTCTAAAATCTTATTAATTATTATTAATTTTATTTAAAAATTATATCTTTTCTAAAAATTACATTGGTTCTTAGGAACAATAAAAAGGAAAAAAATTCCTTTACTTGTAAAAATATAGTATAAATTTGATATCTAATAACAATATTTTACGATAATTGATTGACTTTGTGAACGAGTGTGTTGCACATACTCAAATATATTTTTTAAATTATTTCTTTTAATTTTTATGAATGTACCTTTTTCACTCAAGTACACTTATTTTGTAAATAAACATCAAGCGTTTATCTATCAATATTATAGCAGAGGTACATTTAAATATTTTAAATAAGAGACAATGCCAAAACAGTGATACATAATTATCAATAAAAGCCAACTTCGTTTATTCTTAGAATATCTAGCTAGAGTTTTGTTGCTTTCGTCGGAAAAACAAAGCGAGATTTTTCCTTTCATCTTAGTTTATTATATGTCTGAAATGAGATGGTTTTGAATCAAGATGAATAAAGCCATTAAAGTATTTATCATTATTTATTGATGCATATTTCAACCGATAGAAAATAATCTGAATAAGTAAAATAACTCAGACCATTCTATAAAATATTTTGCAGTATAACTATGAATTCATGTTATACAAACAAAAACAAAACAAAATGACAACAGTAGTTTTAAATATGTCCGTGTTTTTTTGTTTGTTTGTTGTTGATGTTGTAGGTTTTTTCTATTTTTTCTTTGTATTGATAAATAATATTATTCAGTTGGGGGGGAGGAGGAAAACAAAAGACAGATTTTAACAATAAAATATTTCAAATGTCTCCAGGTAAAACTAATCATTTCCTTACTATACAAAAAAATACATAAATTACTAATTTATTTGAACAAGATCATATTAACCATTCAATGTCGACAACTTATTTCAAAAAAATACGACTGTAAATTAAAAAATAAATGTTATTTCCGTAGAGTATATTGAATATCAAATATCTGCTAAACTCTTTACGACACAAAGATCCAAAGGTATTTACATTCTGAAGATTACCCAATTACCTAGTCGAAACACAAGCGTTATATCAGATTTCATTTGAGACTTCTAGACAATAGACCTCATTTGCAACGCGTGACATATTCTGTTGTGTTTTTTCTTTCGCAAATTGTCTTCCATTTTCCTAAAATGGCTGTTTGTGAACAATGGCATTAGTTGTGTCAATAATGAGTATCTGGTTGTGTTGTATACGGGATCTGAGTCACACACACCTTGGTACTCCTGACAGACTGGTCCGATATCTGATATCCCTCTGTACTAATTTGCACTCTGAGAGTGAGAGAAGTACTATTACACTCCTAAACAGATCGTCACTGCCGTCACAAGAATGCTTTGCGGGGGAGAAAACAATGGACACAATCGTTTTATTTTTAGAAGATATTTATTAAATCAAAGAACAGAGGTGATCGTCTTAGACTTTTTTCAATATAAGACAACTGTTTATCAGTCTCCTCAATGTAAGTAACATGTCGTTTTTTCCTGTGTGAGGACACCATATTGTTTAGGGGACTGACTCCAGGGCTCCCCAACCCTGGCAGTTCCTATCAATTTATTTATATATATCTGTATATACTTATCAGTATTATATATATATATATATATGTAATATTTTGCTGGGGGGGGGATGGGAAAAAAAGAAAAAAGAAAGTTTTCTTAGATAACATTCTAAGATTACATTATAAGAAAACATTACATTAAAATTCTTTTAATTGAATTGCTAAAATTGATTCAGTGTCAAAGACTGTCTCTGCGACCACGTTTGCCCTTATCGCTAGCCATCTATAGTCAACTCATTATTTATATATTTGAAAAATTCTTAACGGACCATCTACACAATCATGTCATTCTAGGTTACAAGGCAGATACATGTTAACACAGAGGAGGTAGCACAGATATGAAAACAGTTTGCATGAGCATCACATTAGTGGCTTTATATGATAATGCAGGTCAATCCTTCCCCCAAAATTATGTAGTTAATTTTGTCCGGGAATGATGTTAGATCAGTGTTTTCTGAATCCCAAAATATCTTTATGAAACACTAGATGTTGGTATTAACTATATCCTTTATTTACTTCTTTGTGGGGGGAAAAAAGGAAAGATTTTTTTTCTACTCGTCTTCGGTTGTTGGTGAACGCCATATTTTATTGTATTTGGCAAATGACATTGTGACGGTAGCCACAATTGGTGTAAGAAACCCCAATCCTCGGGGTTCGGTTGATCTTGGTAATATTTTTATTGGTGTCTACTGTTCAGTTCTACCCTGGCCTAAATTCATGAAGCTGTTCGCATGGTCAAGCAGTAATTCTGACCTTAAACCAACTTTATTATAATTTGCTCAAATCATGCGACACAGTCCAAAAGTAAAGTCTAGACAATGAAAACGGTATTATTCTCCCCGACGTGCGGGGTTTTTTCTTTTCCTTTTTTTTGTAAAAATCTTTAGTAATTAACCACTGCAAAAAAAACTTTAGGCTGGAGAAGAGAATCTAAGTTTAAGCATGAGAACGGTATCATCAACACAAACCCTGAATTTGACAAAGTGATAATTGTATTTTTATGTATTTACATTCTGTGTTTCTTTTAATTTCTTGCAATATCTCATAGACTTACAAACGAAAATGAAAAGATCATTATGAGTATGATAACTTTGCCGCTACAAATGTACCAACTGTAATGTTATTTTTGAAATGAATATATATACATTAATCTTGGTTTGAGAATTAAAGAACGGATCTGTTTGCATCTGAATTTTATGAATGATTGTTTTATGATGAATAGTTATTTTGGCTTAAGAATATGTCAGGGGTGTTCATTTTGTCTCTCGAGTAGTGCAAAACGTATGTTTTCTATGTTAAAGCTATCGTTGCCATGCTAACCAATGAGCTGTACGTGAACAATCATCACCAACAGTAAACAAAGAAATAATACGACAAAGAGCATACTTAATGTAATGAATTCCTATAATGGGATGGTTAAAAAGAAACAACTAATTCAAATATTACTTTCTTAATTAAGTTCCGTAAGATAAGTCTTGTCCCAAGCGTCTTAACTTTTTTTTTTCTTTCTTAAGAGTCGTATCAATTATGTCAAAGAAATTTAGTGCATTTAAAAAATATTTTTCAGTATGATACACCAAGCTTGATTTCCGACTGCAACTGTCCTAAGTGAATGTCCTTACATCCACTACGTTGGGCAATTGCTAGGTAATAGCCGCAGGTCGGTGGTTTTTCTTCGGGTACTCCGGCTTTCCTCCATCACCAAAACCTGGAACGTCCCTAAATGACCATAGCTTTTACATTCATGTAATAGGACTTAGAACACACACAAACAAAGGCAAACCGTACATCGTGATCATAGAAACATATAGGTGATATCACTTTGCTGTATCCTATATGATGTGAGAGAGATGGACCAAAACAGGTTATAAAGAATGTCAGACTCTTCTTATTGCACACATAAGCAAATCCGCATGTTTACCAACATAACGAAAACAGATATCTTTAATCGTAGTTTTCCGATAAAATTGGTACAAATTGATTAATATTCACAGCACAAAGTAGAAGGTAGATGATTAACCTTAAACAAAAAAATCGGAATGTCAAATTTAGACACATTGATAGACTTGACGAGAATAATAGCTCTATCAGGAAATAAATCAATCTTAACCCAATGCTTGTGTTGCACCTAGATAACAGATATTTATATCAATAATGATATTGTTGTTTCACACTAGATTACAAAGATATATCAATAACGGTATTTCCTGTGTTGTTCTATATCACACTAGATGACAGAGAAAGAAATCATTTTAGATATAAAAAATGAACCTAAAATAGCAATACTTCCTTCAGTTATAAAATATAGCCACACCAATCTGATTAAAATCATATGTTACATGGCTCCGTTAACTTCGTACTCAGGCGTAGTACGAAGTTAACGGAGCCATGTAACATATGATTTTAATCAGATTGTAGCCACACGGAGTTTTAATTGCAAGTAGAAAGTAAAACACTTCATGCTTGACATGAGAATGGAACAAGATTGTAGCCGAAGGGAGACAACTCCGGTCTTGCCTTTTTATTGATGCTGTAGAATATTTTTTTATTTTTTGCACACGGCAAGGCCATTTGTTTGGATTTCTTTTTTTATTTCTGTGTACCTTGCTTTTGTCATCATTGAGGACTTATAGCTACGACGGCTTAAGTCAGAATTTCAGTCGCATTACAAAAGTGCATTAATAAACACTGAAGAAAATAACGTTAAACT